TGTACAAACTGTTGCTTTAAGGTTGTAATGTAAGTTTCCTATTTTGTACTATACAGTTATTAGTATGAGGAATTATCAGTCAGGGTCTCAACTGGAAACAGCACGCTCAAATTAAGATGAACCAAGGATGTTTACAAAGGGGCAGGCTGAATAGAGAATCACAAGATTAATGCAGTAACCAAAATTAGAAGCACTCTACCCCTAAGACAGAAAAAGACAAGGGATGGGGTTGTCACTCTCTAAAAGGCCATTTGAAAGGAACCTTTGATCATAGGACATAACCAGCCCAATCTCAGGAGGAGGAAATTGGGAAATAAGTATCTTGACCTTTTAGGTTTCCTCCCATCTTCTGCTAGAGCTCCTTAAAGGTTTACCCCGACAAGAATCCAGAGTGAGGGGACCCAGTGATGAGTACAGGTTGGCCTTCCAGCAGAGTGGATATGGAAGGGCAAACAGATGATGCCAGGCATGTGTTGCTTATTTTAATCAGAAGTATTCCTTTCTGTACTGACAAAATGAACATTAATTAATTGCTGGTGACAGAAACTCGACTTGATGTCATTGAAACAAAAACAAAAACAAAGACAAAAAAAAGGAAAAAAACTAAGGAAAGGGCTAGAGAAGAGCTGAATTTATGGAAACAAATGCTACTGAGGTATAATCCTCCTCCTTGCATGTTGGTTTCTTTTGTAACAAAGTGGGGACTTGGTCTTCAGCAGCACTGGGGTGGTATCTCTAGAGCAGTATAATGAGACAAAATGAGACTTAGCTTCCAACATCTCAGAGAAAAGTCTTAGAGAAGAACTTTACTAAGAGATATGATGATCTGCATAAATGGGCTAGGAAGAATGATTTGAAAGATGTTAATTCTTACCAAATTATTAGCATAATGTAATCCTAACCAAAATGTCACTTAAATTTTTGGGGAATATAAAAAATAAAGTCTAAACTTCATCAAGAATTTGCTAGGATACCAAGATTAAAAAAAAAAAAAGGAATAGCAAAGGTAACTTGTTCAATTATTAAATTGTTATCAAATGATTAGAATTAAAGGTGTTATGTTGATAGAAGAATGGCAAGTTAAAGGGCCCCCTGGGTGGCTCAGTCGGTTGAGCATCTGACTTTGACTCAGGTCATGATCCCTCAGTTCATGGGTTCGAGCCCCGCGTCGGGCTCTGTGCTGACAGCTCGGAGCCTGGAGCCTGCTTTGGATTCTGTGTCTCCCTCTCTCTCTGCCCCTCCCCCGCTCATGCTCTGTCAAAACTAAATAAACAACAACAACAACAAAATTAAAAAAAGAAAAAAAAGAATGGAAAGTTAACTGAACAAAACAGGTGTGTGTAGGTATGTGCATAATCAAGGAACCAAACTAAAGGGATGGGAATGGATTAACCAATAAATGGTGCTGGGAAAATTTACTATGTAGGACAAAATCATGCCAGATCCTTAAATCACATTTTATGCCCAAATAACTTCCAAATCAATTAAAGAGAAATGTAAAAAAGAAAAGCATAAAATATGATAGATGAGATGAATATTTAATCTTGGGATGCAAAGGACTTTTTAAGCATAATAGAGATTTTACAGCATACATAATGTGTAACTCAAATGTGAAAAAATTACATGCAAAATTAAAGGACAAACGGTAAACTAGAAAAACATTCTTAAAATGAAATATTACTACACTGTATAAAAATATTTAATAAATGTTTATTAAATGATGTGTTTGTTGATTAAATGTTACTGTTCTGAAACCATTAGGGAAAAACAAAGGTAATTATTTTGGGTAACAGCAAAAGATAATAATATTACCTTATTGAAAATAAACACTTTAGATTGGCCATTCATAATTTAGTATAATTTTATTTTCATTATACCTATAAAGGAAGAGTAAAACACACACAAAAGTAAGACTCACATATTTTTCATTTTTAGAAAATTAAGTCCCTTAGGGTCAAAATCATTTTATTTCCTATCCTTCACACAGGTTCACTGTGAATAGCTTCACTCAGATTACCTAGGTTTTGCTGTATGACTCATTAACTGGTATAATTAAAACAAAACAACTTGTAAAAATGTCACTCACCTGACATGGAAAATTAAACAGATAGAATGAATTCTAAAATGACCTGAATTTAATGAAGGATAGATCTAACTCTCTCAAGAGTTATAACTGACTGTTTTTCTAACAGGAAGAACAAATTCAGAATATGCTTTAAATACCAATTTAAAAAAGAAACTGAGAAAATATGAATAGTGGCTAAAAAGATAAGTGGGTGCATTCAATGAGAATTTTTATTTCAATTATCCACAAAACGATATTATAATACCTTATAAAAATACTAAGTTTTAGGCTACCATTATTCATTTAAAAAAGTGTGCTAGGAGGTTGTTTTTGCCAACTTCCTTTTCTGGTGAGGGTTAAGTTCCACAATAAGACACTGAAGACGAAAAGCTGCTGGAAAAAAATCTTCAAATGTACAAAGTTGTTTTATTTTTCTTGGCAATTTAAAAATACATAACCATTTAAACTGAATACACATTAAGTTAGTGTTTTATTTCCTTACTATACAGTTGATATCATAAGGAACTGCTCCATTTAGTTAAAACCTAATGAATACCACTAACTTTTCCTGACTTTTCTGAACACAATTAGTACATAAACATAATTTTGTTATCTTTTTTAAAAAGCTTAGAAAAATTATAATATCAAGTTCACATAAAGCCCTTTAAAAATCTGATGTCCCAGGATGTAGATGTTCAGGGTAAATGACAGCAGTCTTCTAGAAGACCCTCTTGGAAGAGGGATTCAATACTAAACAGGTTACGTAAACATTAGAAACCTCCACAATTTTTAGTACCAGAACTGTTACCAACTTGCATGAAGCTCATTTGTCACATTTTAAAATGGTCTGAATTTCAACACAGTTATCATGGCACACAATTTTAAACTTAATGATTAAATCAATTAAGTGACTGTAGGTAAAACCAACTAGGGACTGTTAGGTTTTCAGAGTTACCATGGAGCTGGCGGGTAGGAGTTGTGAACAGGGCAAGTAAAACACAACAAAGCTCACTGTTCTTACTAAGATTCAACCATTTTCTTAAATGAATATTGATCAGCAGAAAAAAAGAATTCTAAAATATGGAAACCCGATGCGCTGCATTAGAAATGTGACTATAAAGGAGAATATTTTAAAACAAAAATACCAGACTTTTGTTCATCAGATTCAGTTCCTTTGCTAGACACTTAAACCAATAATGCTGCTATTCAAATTTATATTTTGGAGTTTCTTTTTGAGTCGATCATAAAACTTTCGAGTTTTATTTCTACATTTTGGATGGGCAAAAACTGTCCCCCCTTTTCACCACTGTTGTTATTCTCAATAAGTTCTCCTCCCCAAGTCAACTAAATTCTAAAAGGGAAAAAAAGATCACCATTAAGTACATTTAAAAAGTTAGTGCAGATTTAAACATGGATTTGAAAATGAGTTCTAAAAATGTTTCGCATAAAGGCTGTATCATTGGAATTAGTGGGAAGCCTTAAATTAACTATTTGAGGCTGTAACACTCATTTAGTGTTTATGTTAAAAAAAGATTAGTTTTAGTCATACCTTGTAACTCTTAAAATCTCAGAAAACAGAGAAGTGAGGAGCTGTGAGTGCCAGCAAAGCAATTTTGTCACTCCTTAATATTAAGCATAACGTCCCATCTGTAAAATTTTCACATTTTCTTTTCTCATATTTCTTTTAAATATTTTCCTCTCTGTCAATCTATACTCAATAAAAGCAAAAGTGCATTCAAGTCCCTGATCTAGTGATATTTTATATTCGTGGCACCCATCACCATAAGTAATATTAGAAATATCTCACAGTACCAGTCTATTTTTTAAAAAGGACTGTTTATATGCCAGGTCTTATTTTTTGATTCTATCTAAAGTTTAAAAGCTTTCCCCTTGGATTGGACAGTACAACTTCAATTATATGTTGCCTTAAAAAAAAAAAAATCAATGCAACATTGTAAAAGATTAACTCACTTCCTAGTTACCATTATTCTAAACTGAGCTATTCAGAAAATGACTAAAGTAAAAATCTTCTACTTTCCAGTTCCACGAGTATTAACATAGTGCATTACATTTTCAAATGCCACTACTGTGGTCTAACATTTCATCAAGTTTCAGAGGCTGTTTATATTCCTTTTTGCTTCTAAAAACCTGGCCCATTTCCATGCAAAAGAAGGCAGGTATTAAGATTGCATATTAACAGTTCAACTTAGAAAAAACTTGTGAGAACAATGAATGCAAGAAATCTTTAAAAACTGGAATGGAATTGTTTGGTCCCATGAAGCTCCTTAATTTAGATTTTATTATGGCAGAACTGATTTTATCTCCCAAGTTTTGTCTATTACGATATATAATTTTCTCTTAACAATTCTGAGTTTGGGGAATAAAAGAAATGAAGTGGTTTATAAAGAAGTAGCCCGTGGGGCGCCTGGGTGGCGCAGTCGGTTAAGCGTCCGACTTCAGCCAGGTCACGATCTCGCGGTCCGTGAGTTCAAGCCCCGCGTCAGGCTCTGGGCTGATGGCTCAGAGCCTGGAGCCTGTTTCCGATTCTGTGTCTCCCTCTCTCTCTGCCCCTCCCCCGTTCATGCTCTGTCTCTCTCTGTCCCAAAAATAAAATAAACGTTAAAAAAAAAAAAAAAAAAAAAGAAGTAGCCCTGTTGCTCTTCACTGTTATGCTATCCTCACGCTATCATCAATATCACAACTATACTTCTTTGGACCCTGAAATAAGTTGGAAGATGCATCATTGGTACTTTAGAGTTTAACACTTGAGAAGAAAAAAAAAAGTGGTTTGTGCAACCATATCTGGAATTCCAGTTTACCATTAAAAACATGCAGAATGAAGACTTTCTTCTTTTGATTCCTGTAGGTAAAGTATAGAAGTCTACACAGGTTCTTTACATTTTGGCAGATTTACGCATATAAAAGGCTACGTGGATTATAAATTTTCTCCTGGCTGGTACTGTGGCTCTGTAGCAGTGAAGTAGTCTTCCAAGAAGGACTGAATATATTCAAACGTTGGTCTTTCATCAGGGTCCTTCTTCCAACAAAGATTCATCAATTCATGTAGGGATTCTGGGCAGCCCTGAGGGCAAGGCATCCTGTATCCTCGTTCCACCTGTTCTAGCACTTCACGGTTTACCATACCTAGCACAGAAGATTCAAACATTAAAAAGAGTGATCCCAAACCCCACTAGCAAAACAGAACAAATCCCCTAGCCACTAACTGATCCAAGGTATAGGAAGTTTATTTAGTGAAACGATTCTTTCAACAAAGAAGTAAAGTAAATTTTAAATGTCAAGTATATCAAGAAGAGCTCAGAAAATGCTAACCTGTTCCAACAGGTCTCATTTTTTTCATTCCACCTAAAATCTTACTTTTAACACTAATGCCTTCAAAAGCCAACCCCACTTGATTAATAAGAATTTAGAGTGCTACTTCGAAGTACCAATACTTTCAGATATTAAGAGTCAACAAAGACCAAATTTGGGTTAGTGAGGGTTAGTGGCAAGATAATGTCTAAGAGAACTCCCAAACAGAAATTCAGAAGAAATTTTCAGAACAATTTCAGAAGAACTAATGTTCTAGTGCTGATTGTGCCAAATATATTAACCATGTAACTATATCGATGCACTTCCTTGAAACAGTTTCCTTATCTAGTATCACATGTTTGCCTTTCTTCAAGTTATTATACACAATTCCCTTCTTGTATTCTTTTGGAATCCTGCCCCCATCAGTAGCTCACCTTGTGTTATGATAGGCTAAGTAAGCATACCTTAAATTATTTTTTTATTTTTATTTTTTTGCATACCTTAAATTATTGGAGGTGTGGGAGTAGTGTGAGATGACCCAGGATATTTAAAATATGCTTATTATCTGAGAGAATAGTAGAGACAAAAGGCTCTTTTGGAAAATGTCCTAACAGAGAAAGATGAGGTGAATGCAGGACACAGCTTGTGCATTTGCCCGATCTCACGGATTGTGATTCACATAGGATGCTGTCCATCCAATGACAAAATAAAGAGGAAGAGAAGAAAGGGAGAAAGAAAGGGAAGGAGGGAAAGTAGAAAAGAAGGAGTGAGGGAGAGAGGGGGTGAGAGAGGAAAGGGAGAAAAGAGAGAAGAAATAAATGCCTTTCTTCCCCTTACAATTTTTTTGCTAATAAACTCCAGCTAAGTACGGTGGCATAACCAAGAGCTAAATGAAATGCCAGCTTACCTGGATACGGCACTCTGCCTTTTGTTACCAGTTCTGTCTGCAGAATTCCAAATGACCATACATCAGACTTTATAGTAAATCGACCATACAGTGCAGCCTCAGGAGCTGTCCATTTGATCGGAAACTTTGCACCTAAAACAACATTGACAATCTTGCTTAAGTAAATTGTTTCTAAAAATCTTCTTGTGTAAATAGAGCATAAGCAGGTTGATGTTTTGCCAGTATCTTTATTGTATGTGTCATCAGCGTCAAATTCTTCAAAAGTACAAGATATGTGGGAAAAATTCTTATAAAATTTATATTAAAATAAATCACATTTCCTCCTGATAAATCAGTAACATAAAAAAGAGAAATGTTGGCAGGGATTGAATGTTCAAGAAAATAGAGGTGGAAACTCTTACAAGCAACTAAAAACATAATTATAGGATCTATAACTTTTTAGCACATCTAGCACCTAGTAGCTATAGCTGACTGTTGATGAAGGCATATTCTGTTGGGTTCTAATTTTAAAACCCTGTATTAATTTATTCATATGTTTAGAATATGCTTTTTATGCACAAGACATTTGCTAATCATTATGGGAGACATAAAAACACAGCCTTTGTGAATCTTAGACACTTAGTGTGGAAATAAGATTACAGGTATCTTATATACCTATGTATATATTCAATGTTATAAAATATAAAATAGTTCTTTAGATATTCAGAAAAACAGAAGATTAATTTTCACTAGCAGTCACAAAAAGTTTCATTTAAAAAGTAGCAGCTATGTTAAACTTTAAAGAATGGTTAGAATTTTTATAGGTAAGGATTATAGAAAAATAGGAAGATATTCTAGCTGGAGGGAACTGCACAAAGGTATAGAAGCTTTTTTTCTTTTCCCACACTACTTTCCATATATTCTCTTGACATTAGTTACGTAACAATTTGCTTTACAGTTATTTATTTATGTCTACTTAGCCTATTAAAATATGAACTCTCATTTACTGAGCATCTACTATGTTATGTAATGTCACGCACAATACTTTCTTTCACTGAAGTTTCACAACAATCTTACAGAGCAGGTATTACCGTCTGGTCTTTATATGTAAGGAGACTGAGACATAGTCAAAAAGGTTAGAAACTTGGTTGAAATCTCTGGGTAATAAGAGACGGAACTGGGATTCAAAAACACACACTCTTTCCATATGCATCTACTGTATGTTCACTAAGTGTTTACTTAGTGGAAGTTTAGAAAGACAGACACAAAACAGAAGAATCAACCTTATATTAATTTCTACAAGTTCTCTTCCCTCCCTGTACAGTGTTAACCTTCCAAACGTTTTTATTTATCACATTATATATAATAATTATTGTAAATTTAGTGTAGAAATGGTTTCCAAGGCCTTTACAAAACTGTATGCCATTTCTCAATTTATTAACTTCAAAAACACCTCTTCTGATCCTTAGTGTAGTAAAATCTGGATGCTTCTGGAAGCTTGTCAAAAAAGGAATTTTAAACTGTTTCTTTTTTTTTAAAGTTTCTTTTTTTTTTTTTTTTAATGTTTATTTATTTTTGAGACAGAGAGAGACAGAGCATGAACGGGGGAGGGGCAGAGAGAGAGGGAGACACAGAATCGGAAGCAGGCTCCAGGCTCTGAGCTGTCAACACAGAGCCCGACGCGGGGCTCGAACTCACGGACTGTGAGATCATGACCTGAGCCGAAGTCGGACACTTAACCGACTGAGCCACCCAGGCGCCCCTAAACTGTTTCTTATTTGTTGACATGACAAAAGTAGTAAAAAAAGGAGTGTACTGCTTGCTATATTTATAATGTAAAGAACACCAAGTCAAGTTCTTTCTTGAGGGAAACAACATCAGAAAGTCATGGCATCATGTATAGAATTTTATGAACAAAATCAGTGTCTCTTTGACTCTTCTGAGCAGACCTAGAGCTATTCTTATTCTACAAAACCCTGAATATTCCAAAGAACGGTAAGAAAATGCAAAGAACATTAGGTTACAAGTGTTTATTAAAAAGTAATTTTACCTTGTCTTGCTGTATATTCATTGTCTTCAATTAACCTTGCTAAACCAAAATCTGCTATTTTGCACACAAGATTTTCTCCCACAAGAATATTAGCAGCCCGAAGATCTCGATGAATATAATTCATTCTTTCAATATATGCCATACCATCAGCAATCTTGAAAAGGAAAAGAAAAAGATGTATGATATAAAGGGGACAGAGAGGGGGAGTCAGATAAGGGAGAGCAGGAGAATAAACTGCAGATGTGTGTGGCCCACAAAACCTAAAACATTCATCCGGCCCTTTACAAAAAGGGTTTGCTGACCCCTACTACCGTATCTAAGAACCTTGAACACAGGACCATGGACTAGACTTAGCATATGCTAACGCCACACACGGACAATTTCTTTGTATAGTTTCTCTAAACTGTCAGATACTGTGGACATCTGGATGGTCACCGAGAAAGGGGTCTTATAACCAACATGTCAACTAGAACACTCACCACATAGCTGAATAGAAACTTTTTTTCCCACCATTTTTTTTTAATGTCTATTCATTTTTGAGAGGGAGAGAGAAAGAGAGCAGGGGAGGGGCGGGGTGGTGAGAGAGAGAATACCAAGCAGGCTCTCTGTACTGTCAGTGCAGAGCCCAATGCAGGGCTTGAACTCATGAACCGTGAATCAAGACCCGAGCTGAAATCAAGAGTCACACTTAACTGACTGAGCCACCCAGGAGCCCCTGAATAGAAACTTCTAATAGTTTTCACTCATATTTAAAAACAAAGATTCATGGGAATAAAAAGCACAGCATATGGAATATAGTCAATGCTGTTGTAATAGCATCCTAAGGTGACAAATGGTAGCTACCCTTGTGGTGAACACAGTATAAGGTACAGACTTCTATTACTATGCTATATACTTAAAACTAATGTAACATAGGGTTAACTTTAGTTAAATAGAAACAAAACTTTTTAAAATATACATGGTAATAAAATTTTAAAATAAACCCAAAAATTCAGAAGAGTAAAACTATCCCATTTTAAAGTATATACTGCCATCTTCATTCTTGTTTTGGATTATATTATATAAAAAGTTCAGCACATCGTTTAGATTTCCAATATTTTCTTTGGAATAGCAATCACTCATTATCTTAAAATTTATCTGCTAAATACAAATACATCTAGATTTCATATTTGTAAATGCATATGTTTCTGAAAGGCTGTAAGATACAGGACAGCACTATACTGAGAATTACATGCTTATTTCTAATATTAGTAAGTTATATGAATGTTAGATAACACAGGTCTTCAGACACCATCTGTAACATAAATCAGATTGGATTATTCCTAATGTTCAACTCTAAAATTCCATGATTTCATTATACAAACAACAGTCTTCTACTAAGATTATATTTTTATGTACACTTTCAATTCAAATTGATACATGTACAGATAAATACCTGAGCAGCCATATCAACCAGTTGTGGGAGCTTCAAATATTTTCCATCTCCTTCCTTCAGGAAATCCAATAAGCTCCCTGTAAGAAACAGAAAAATGTTATAGAAAATAAAATTTTAAATTAGGACTGAAACAAACATTCCCCTACCTCCAAATTACCACATCACAATATAAAACTTAAGCTTTTCATTCTTTAATATTTTTTGCAGCTTTGGAATTTCTGAATAATTATCTTTAATATTCTAGAAGAGGTCCCTAAACTGAAATTTTAAAAACATCTTGGAAAACATGGAAAATTTAATCATCTCACTAGATTGTAGGCATTCCTTGTTTTGATCAAGATAACAAATCCCAATTTTGAGCCAATAAGCAGTATTAGATACCTGTATATTTTTAAGTCAATCTGAATCAAGAACACAGACAACTAGGAATATCCTGGGGTACTTAAAACCAGACCTAGGTGACTGACTTGATATGGAATTGCTTGCCTAATGAACTTCTCTCACTTTTAGCAGAAGATACCACAAAACAGCAAAGTACTATGAATAACAGCCAACAGAAAGGCTACAAAAGTCTGGTTGTTATTCCTGTATTACTGGTTAAAAACCTACCATGTACCTGAATTTAATAAAAAAAAAAAAAAAAACCAAAAAAAAAAAAACCAGATGAACCAAAATTAAGGTACATTTTTAAAACAACTACACTGTTCTCTTCAAAAATAATAATGTCATGAAAGACAAGAAAGACTAAGAGAGGGACTCCTCTGGATTAAAGTCCTGAACATACATTCATCTGTCCTGGAGCTAGAGTGTGGAGCCTGCTTAAAATTCTCTTTCTCCCTCTGCCCCTCTCTGCTGCTCACACACTCTGGTGCTCTCAAAAAACAAAAAAACAAACAAACAAAAAAAAGTAAATCACTCCAATTATAATATGAAAAATGAAATTTGGCCAAAACTGCACAAAAAGATTAAGTTTAAAAGTTCCTGTGATAGTCTAGGAAAGCGAGACTATTATGTTAAAATCTAGGAATGACAGTGGGAATACAGAGAAGGGGAAATTTTCCAGAGAGATGTGATTAATAGGATCAATGGCACCGAATGGATTATTATTACACAGCGGGGTGGGAAAGTGAGGTTGTTGGGCCCCATCCCCAGAATGTGCATCTCTGAGTTTCCTGATGCTAATGTTGCTGCCATCCAACACACTACAGACTCTTACATATGGGCAAGAAGAGACAAGGACATTCACTGCAGCACTGTTTGTCACAGTGACAAACTAGAAGCCAACCTAAATGTTCACTGGGAAAGGAATGAATAAACAAAGGTATACTTGTACAGAACCTCATTCAACAGTTACAAGTATACAAGTTAGATCTTCTCTTACCCATATGAATAAGTAAATCTCAAGAGCATTAACAATGAATGAAAATGAAGCTAGTAATATTTACATAAGTTAAAAACATACAAATGCTAATAGGTAAATATATATCAATGAATATGTATCAATATGAAAGACACAGATGGAAAAGCTAAGCACCAACTTCAAAACTGAGGTTACCTCTGCAAGGGAAACAGACCCAAAGGAGCCTGGAGGGAGGGCTCAGACATGAACAGGCTCAAGGAGGAGTAAAAACAAAGATGCAATTAGATCTGTAATGTTTTGTTTCCTTAGTAGAAAGATCTGAAGCATATATGGCAAAGTGTAAACATTAGTTATATTTGGATGGTAGGGACATGGTTGTTATGGTATTCTCTGTATGTCTGAAATATCCACAATTTTTTTATTTATTTATTTTTTAAATTTTTTTTTTCAACGTTTATTTATTTTTGGGACAGAGAGAGACAGAGCATGAACGGGGGAGGGGCAGAGAGAGAGGGAGACACAGAATCGGAAACAGGCTCCAGGCTCCGAGCCATCAGCCCAGAGCCCAACGCGGGGCTCGAACTCACGGACCGCGAGATCGTGACCTGGCTGAAGTCGGACGCTTAACCGACTGCGCCACCCAGGCGCCCCAGAAATATCCACAATTTTTTTAAAAAGTCTACGAAAAGTGTTGACATTAAATAAACTTAAATAGTTTTTTAAAAGAGTGCATGGCTGGTTACAAAGTGAAGACAGAGTATTCTTTAAAAAAATCTTGGCTGTGAAGGGAAGCAAAAAGTAGACCGGTAGGTGAAAAGCAGATGTTGACACCAAGAGAGGGTTTTCTTTTTAGATGTAAGAAGGATCAAAAACACAGGTAAAGAAATTGTCCTTAAACAGAGGAAGGGACACTTCTTTCCTTAACCTGTAGGATAAACTGACATCAGGGGTGCCTGGGTGGCTCAGTCGGTTAAACATCTGACTTTGGCTCAGGTCATGATCTCAGGGTTCGTGAGTTCGAGCCCTGCATTGGGCTCTGTGCTGACAGCTCAGAACCTGGAGCCTGCTTCAGATTCCGTGTCTCCCTCTCTCTCTCTCTGCCCCTCCCCCACTCGCATTGTCTCTCAAAAATAAACATTAAAATATAAAGATGAACTGACATCATATAAATACTACACATAACAATGTATACAGAAAGAAACAGAAGACACAGTTGTTTCAGAATAAAGAATCTAAATAAGGTGCCATGATCAATACATTAAGTAGAACATTATTCAGCATAATAATAGATAATTGTTAAAATCATGCAAAAATGCAGTGCATAGAAATGAACTGCAATTGGTATCATTTGGTCAATTCCTTTTCTCTGGCAACACAGAACGTTCTGGGTCTTATCAGTGGTCCTTAACCCTTTATACGTTCATGGGTTGCTTTGAAACTGACAAAAATGATGGACTCTCTTCCTACGAAAACATACATACATATACAAACATAACTTCACATAACTTCAGGGGAAGTTGATGGATCCTTTGAAACTCATTCAAGATTTTAGCAGAGGAGGTACTCACTAAGTAATCGTGAAATCAATTCAAAGGAGTCCTTAAGTTTGTCTCACATACGTCTCCATCTTTATTTCCAACCAGCTGACTTCTGTACTTTCTTTCCACTTCCCATGGTTTTGTCTCCATTACCTCCTATCCTCTTAGCTCTGCAAAGATACCCGTACCTTTCCCTTTACCCATCCACAGCCTTCATAATCTTGAAGGGCAATTGAACACTTGTCTTTTCCACTAATAATTCTCAGTTTATTCCAGTCTATGTGATCTCTTCTTCATTTCTACACTTACTGAATACGTTAAACACGTGGAAATTCATTATGCTTTGGCCTGGAGCTTGTTTGTTTACAGTGAGCTATTATTTACTTTTATACTGAAAATTAACTTTTCAGAAGGTTGGATCTTTGCTCTCTAAATTCAATGTAAGTAATTTGGGTGGCTTTATTTCTTTGATACCTTATACTGACTAGCAGAGTGTCCTGTATATTTGAAGTATTCAATACATTTTGGTTGTTAATGTTTATAGAGTAGTGTGATTACAAACATTTCATAGGATCTAATGATCATGACACATATGGGTATTAATGGCAGGCTTCTAACACTTGACCTAAGATAATCTGAAGGAAGTATGATTGATGGACTGGTTGAGAGACAAGGAAACCAAATTCCAAATGAAGGAATTTGAACAGAATCATGGAAAACAAAAGCAGTAAGAAGACCTCTCTAGCCAGGAAAGTGGGTTTATGTGGGAGTACATGAGGCAATGAGTTTGAATGGATTACAGAGGGTCAATTGCTAAGTACCTGAAACAAGATGGGGAATTATAGAGTTTTAAAACCAGAAGGGTCATCTGTGATCTTGCATTCTAAATCTCCCATCTAGAAATAATCCTAACCTAGCAATCTGACAACATAGAAGTCTATCGTGTCCCCCCAGTTAAATAATTCTTTTTTTTCTTAATTTTCTTTTTTTAATGTTTATTTATTTTTGAGAGACAGAGACAGACAGAGCATGAGTGGGGGAGGAGCAGAGAGAGAGGGAGACACAGAATCCAAAGCAAGATCCAGGCTCTGAGCTGTCAGCAGAGAGCCCAACGCAGGGCACGAACCACAGAGCCGTGAGATCGTGACCTGAGCCAAAGTCAGGCGCTCAACTAACTGAGCCACCCAGGCGCCCCAAATAATTCTTGAAATCAATATGCAAAGCTAAATGGACCATTAGCTTTACCTCCATTACATTCTTATGCTATCAATATCTTGATTTAAACTTCCTCCTTGTCCCTTTTCTCTCTTCCTTACACAATGCATCCAATGCACTCTGAAAGGGGTTATTTGGCAGTTGTTTGCAGTAGAGATTCTTTCCAAAAAGTGCCATGTGCCTTGAGGGTATTAGGTAAGTTTTGGCTATCAATTAGTAGGTTACATCAGTTCTTAATTTTTGGTCTTGCTATTCCTTTGGGAGGTGGGGGGTAGATTTCCTATAGCAAATATGCAGCTTGTAGTTGGCCCTGTCACCACTAGATGGAACTACATTGTTGGCCAAGAGGGACTACTGAAGAGAGATGACATAACCAGTAGCTTTAATTATGGATGAGTGACTCATTAAGAGGAAGAAAAAAAAAAAAAGATAAAATTCAAGACGGTAAAAGTGGGACTGGCAACATATTTAGTACTTACTGGTTCCTCTTTTAAAGCATCATCTGTCCCTTCTCTTTATCTTGGCCCCAAACAACCCTGTTACTAAAGATCCCACCTTAGGGTCTAGAGTTTGGGAGAATGGAGAAATGTTAGTGAACAATAGTGGGGAAAAGTTTCTAGGAATCCTGAATATAGAGACTGTGTTTACACTAAAATAAGATAAAATTAATTTCCTTAATTTCACCTGATTTCTTTGCTTTAGGACTAAAGATATAAATATCTAACTGCATTATTTTAATTGATAGAAATATTTTTTTTCCCTTTCCTAGCTATTCCATTTCCTTTAGCCAAATGGAATGAAAGACTACTTACTTTCAACATAAACTGGGCTGGCCTGATTTTCCTTTTAAACTTTGTACTCTCCTTTGGAATAACTGGAACTAATCACTACTCCATTAAACAAAATGTTAGATTTTCTCTTTTCAAATGTATACATAAAAATCTTAGAGAACACGACACATTAAAAAAATTTGTATGCATAAAAATAGAAATGAAGACTTGTTTTTTAAAAAATTTATCAAACTGAATACTCTAAAAATAAACTAATATACACATACCTTTTGACATGAATTCAGTGACAATGTAAATGGGCTCTTCAGAAACAACAGCATATAGAGGAACTAGTTTATCATGTCTTAACTTTTTCATTATCTGAGCTTCTTGAAGAAAAGCTTCTGGCATCATTGTACCTGGTTTTAGTGTTTTGATTGCTACTTTTGTGGTTCCATTCCATGTTCCTAGAGAAACAACATATTTTACTATTTTAATCTATTTATTAAGAGATTTTAAGTCAAACCTCAGTGAGCAGCACTGAGCAGTTACCTTAAATATTTTAGTATATCTTATCATAAGTTGTGGTGCTTTAATCTACGGCTAAACAAATGACAAAAAACCAGAAGTTCAGATTTCTTACCCATCCATACTTCACCAAAACATCCTTGTCCTAATTTAACCTCTAGTCGCAAAGATTCTCGAGGGATTTCCCAAGCATCTTTTGCTAGACCTTGAGTCTGGGGTTTCACAGTTGGACACACGGTTGTTAACTTATGGCATAAACCATCAGCATGTTCTAGATAAATGAATAAACTACACTGTAAAATGAATTAATTACAAAAATTAAGGTATATATAGTATATCAATGTTTTTAAAAGTTTAAATTAAAGAAAACAAAAACATAATGTTTTATCAGTTTTATGCTAAAACCACAGACACAAAAAAGGGAGTTGTATGTATATAAGAAACAAAACATACAAAAAGCAAAACATTTTTTGTTAAATACCTTTTTAAGGTTATAATTTATTGAATACTTATTATGTCTCAGCTATTGTACTAATTCAGAACTTTATAAATATCTCATATAAGTAAGTCTTGAAAAGCTTAAGTGACTTTCTTAACGTCACCCAGTTAGTAAGTGATGGAGATGGGATTCAAACCCTAGTTCTGGTTACCTCCAAAGTTATGTTTTTGACCACTGTGCTTTACTTCTTCCTAAAGAGAATGCTACCATTAACTGTTAAACAGGGAATCCCAAATTCACAATGGCTTGACTAGTGAATCTTGCTTATCCAATCTTCTTTGTTGAATATAAGACATGTTGCCTCCCATTTTCAACAAGTAACCACACAAATCCACATTCTAACCAGTGCGATTACAACTGCTCGCTAACATGTTTCTTCAATGTCAAGATTGGTGGTTGACTTGATAGACTGTTTGTAGCTAGCTGTCACTGAAGAAAAGACTGCCATGGGAACTCCCTTACCTCTAGTATTAAGAATTTAAAAACTTTCAGATGCATTCATATATTAAATCAGCCATGCAAAATTTTGAGACAGAAGAATCTGATACCAAATATCTTTCAAAGGTCCTTGAAAAACCAAAAGAATGTCTACACAGTTGCTATAGGTTAGTTTTCCAGGAAAAGAAAAATGCATCTGCAGAATTAAATTTCACTGGATTTATATTTTAGGAAGTTTTATGTGGTCCAGCCCATACAGAGGAATGTAACCCGAAAAGACATCTGATATGGCTTTTTAAGTATTTAGTTTTACCTACTTAATAAACGTTCCTTAAAAATTTTTTTGCTTTTATGCTTTTTTATTTATTGTCACAATCTATCTTGGTTTTTAGCTGTTATGAAACGAAACCCCAACGTAAATATTACTCCAGTTAGATACAAGGATTCAAATAATGGTAGTCAAATTTTACCATATCTAAGAACCTAATTCAGGTAATAAGTATTACCTGTTCTTCATTTTAAAACTACAATACAACAACATCTATAGACCACACTCTGTGTGTAAAGTACTGAGCTAAACCTTACAAGAAACGAAAACAGAGATTCTGTCCTCATAAAATACAACATTTAAAAATAGTTTTCACGTGTGAAATCGTCACATACCTGTGTAGTGTTTTACCAACTTCTGCAGAGTATCAAATTGTGCTCTGGTTGTGATATAGTATCCACCGTTGTCAAGTTTCCTAATTTTGTAGTGTTTCACATTGTCACCTCTTACCTCATCCCAATCACGAATAGAGAGAGAATAAGCACCTAAGGGGGGGAAACAAATACTTTTTGTGTATCTTTCTCAAAATACGGTCCAAGAAAACTTTTATACTTACATTACAATATAATTACCTTTAGTAGTTTCACTCTCTCGTACTAAGAAAATACCTCGTTGATTCCCAGGATTCAGAAGTAATCTTTCAGCATCTTTTCTCCCCATTTTGCCAAAATACCACCTGGGAAAAAACAGTGTTTTAAGTTAGAAATGTGTAAGGGTTGGAAAGATTTACATAAGTATCAGTAAGATTCGAGTGGAGGGGAGGGGTGACAACAAAGAGCTTCAGAAGACAGCTTAAAAACACAGCAAACACAATAAAAGATCTTTACTAAATAGAAGTATTACAAATACTACTGTCAGAACATACTGTCCTAGTATTTCCAGGTACTGACTATTCAACCAGTCTCTTAAACTTCACCTGGAAGTCACAGGATCAGAGAAGTAAAGACAATAATGACAGAGAGAACCTCTAGGTCCCTGACAGATGGAAATATGAAGAGTGCAGTAGGAAGAACAGAAGTGGCTCCCTGGTAACAGTGTGATCATCTGTATTCAGTAAAGTGCAAGTAAACTATATCCAAATTACTAGCAACTCTAAATTAGCGTGGGTTTGATTTAATACAGATTTGTGAATAAAAATAAGTCTCTGCTGTGGAGAAGCTCACAGAATAAAACAAGAAGTAACAAGGGTCAAGCAGAACAGAGTTACAGAGACAGATTACATATTGTAAAAGCAATAAAAACAAACACTGAGAGAGCACCTACTCTGTGCAAGGCACTGTGTTAAGTGTTGTGTTATGAAAACAAAGTAGTATTATTATAAATCCCAGACATTCTTGGTTTGATCTAAAAATATTATGTCACTGAAGTTGAATTTTAATTTTTTAAAAGTTGTGAGAATAGCACATAGAACACTCATATACTCCTTACCCAGATTTCCTAAATGTTAAAATTTTACTTTGTCATATTCTCTTACTCCGTGTACTTTTTCTGAACCAATTGAGAGTAAGTTGCAAACATTCTGAATCATTATCCTAAATACTTCAGTGTGTACTTAAGGATATTCTCCTACATAATCACAGACCAAGCACCAAAGTCAAGAAATTAACACTGATACAACACTATCAACTGAGGGTAAATTTTGAAGTGAGAGAGTTTGCAGAATATAAAAAGAGTTAATATGATGTTTTTAAAGAGAAAATATAAAGGATACAGACTAGGCATAATAGTATGATTAATGCAGATTATTTATGATCCTACTGTAAGCAAATACTATGGCATTAATTATTAATTTTCAAGTAACATCTCCTATTAATATGATGTATTAGCTGTATTAAGGCTGGTATGTAATTGTATGTGTGTAAAATTGTGGCTAAGTAGAATGTGCACTAAAACATTTTCTAAAATCAAAGTAATTAATAAAATATGAAGTAGGGCCATACTCTTCTGCCTGAATGGAATCTGCAGGGGCTACATAATTGCTAGGGATATAGCCGTTCTTTCCTGTAGCAATTGATCGTGCTTCCCACCAGTCTCCTTCCCTGTAATACATAAAACAACAATTACCCAAGGTAGACAACTGCTCAGGACACAATTTATTACAGTGTTGCCTTGTATATATGTAGAAAAGAGGTATTACTTCCATTTTTTAATGCATTCATTTGATCAAGAATTAAACTCAAAAGAAGAATACTCAAAAATAGGTTACATGAATTAAACGAATAAGGCTAAAAGCAAAAGCACAACTGCGTCTTTCTCCTCCAAAAGTTACAGCTTAATTTTAGTTATAAGATCCCTTTTTTTTACACAATTCTTACAACCTAAAACAATAAACTATACTGACTAAAACAATTTGGGAGGTAAATCTTTCAAATTACTCAGTTTCAACTCAATGTTTTCTTTTTTAAAAGCTTTACTGACATATAATTTACACACCAAAAATTCCCCCTTTAAGATGTCATGGGTTTTAATATATTCAGAGTTGTGCAACCATTACCACAATCAATTTTAGAACATTTCGTCACCCCCCACCCCTCCAACAAAGAAACTCTGTACCCATTAACAGTCATTCCCTACTCCTCCCCAAGCCTCCCCCCACACTGCCAAACACTAAATCCACTTTCTGTTCCTATGGACATGCGTTTATGGGCATTTCATATAAATGGAATTATACAATATGTGGCGTGGTCTTTTGGACTGGCTTTTTTCACTTAGCATAATTTTTTTCAAGGTTCATCTATGTTATAGCATGTTATCAGTAGTTCGTTCTTTTTTACTGTCAAATGCTTTCAACAGTACATAAAATCAGAATGTTCTTTTTTAGTCATTGTAGGGGGAAAAAAATCAGGATGCCTTAGAACTCTTGTAGGCAACAGGCAAGAACAATAAAAAATTTAACTCTGAGAATAAAGTATATTTACAAAAATGTTAGCCACAAATATCTAAGACTAAAATCAATTCAGAACATGAGAATTATGTTTAGCTTGCAATACATAAGACTTGACTTTTCCAAAATTAACATAAAAGCAAATATTATCAGTCTCTAATGAGGAAGATATAAGTGGGTTCTGCCACTAAAAATTAAATGCATGTTTTGCTTTGCCAGAGAGAAGTAATGAAAATATTTTATCTAAATTGAAATTTTATAAATGACTGAGGAGAATTTGTTCTCTAAAAAATGAGATGACAAATCCTTTGGCATTTCAAGTACTGACGAACTCATAAGCTTAGTTTGTAGTTTCCTCGTATGTATTAAGCACTTTCAGATACACAAACTGCAAAGTTTGCATTTGTACTAACCACTCATGATTCATTCAAACATTTACTGAATACCCTTTAAGTGACAGACTTTATGAGAAGGTATGCTGGAAACAGAAGTAAAAAGTCAGTCTATACCCTCCAGAAACTCAGCCTGAGAATTTCTCAACCTTGGCACTACTGACTCTTTGTGCTGGATAATTCTTTGTTGTTGGGGCTGTTCTGTGCATTGTAGGATGTTCAGCAATACCCCTGGCCTCTACCCACTAGAAGAAAGTAGAGGGACCCTGACTATAACAACTAAAAATGTCTCCAGATATTGCCAAATGTCCCTGGACAATTCTTCCCCAAGGTGAGAACCACTGGTCTAGAAGAACGAAAAGCACATGATACATTATAATCCAAAGTAGTGATGGCAGCTATGATTGAGGTTTGTAGATGGTGCCACCTCAACCAGTAAGGCAGAAACTGAATCCAGCAGGAGATGGGGTGTGGGCCAATGGCAGAGGAAGAATGTGAAGAAAGGCCTCCTTGAGAAATGATACAGGAATATATGTTTTGAAGGATGAGCAGGGTTGGCCAGACAAAAGAAAAAAAAAAAATTGGAGAGACAGAAAGACCCATTACAGAAAAAAGAAACTACGTGTGAAGGCAAGGAAAGGTGAGGGGGCACCTGGGTGGCTCAGTTGGTTAAGCATCTGACTCTTGATTCCCACTCAGGTCATGATCTCACGGTTCATGAGACTGAACCCCACATGGGCTCTGTGCTGACAATACGGTGCCTGCGTGGGATTCACTCTCTCCCTCCCTCTCTCTCTACCTCTCTCCTGCCTCCCTCAAAATAAATAAACTTAAAAAAAAGAAAAAGAAAAAGAAAAAGAAAAAGAAAAAGAAAAAGAAAAAGAAAAAGAAAGGTGAGAAACCCCAGTGTATTCATACAATTATAAGCAATTTACTACGGCTGGGCAGTTAAGTGAGGAAGGGGAAGCAGCTCCATGACTGACGTCTACCATTGTTACTCCTTTTATCTTGACAGCAACTGGGAGCTACTGTAGGATTTTAAAGCAGAGAGACATGATCATATTTTATATTCTGGAACAATAATAGATAACAAATGGGAACAAGAAAGTTTGGAAATATGACTGGAAGTAAAGAGACCATAATATATATTTTGATAAGTTATGAGCTGGTTGCTATGCCTGCTAATGAAATTATGGGATTTATTTTCCATAACAAGCACTGAATTTTCTTTTTTTAAATTTTATTTTCTTTTTATTTCAGAGAGAGAGAGTGCGTGCAAGTCGGGAAGGGTGGGGGGAGACGAACTGAGTAACCCAGGCACCCCCAAAGAATTGAATTTTCAATTCAAGCATTGAATTCTTAATGGGACGCTGAATGTCTAAGAATCACCTAAGAACAAAGCAACTTAATGTGATCAGTTTGGGATGCTGGGGTTCCCTCCCTGGACTTTTTCCTTTGTCTTTTTAAGAGAAAGAAATAAGATCCTTAAATCATCTTATACTTAAACAGGAACATAGAATTCTACAGACTTCTTTTTTTTTAAGTAATGTACTTACTTGCATCTACTCCCTCATTCTTCACTCTTTAATCTTTACTGTTCATGGCAAAACACACATTGCAGCACAATTTGTATAAGTAATAACTTCTGGCTACAGCAGTAGTTATTATGCCATGTGTCTCAAGAAACTAAATGCATCATCCAACCCAGTGGGCAGAGACCCATGCCTCACCACTCTCATGATTCAGAAATCAACCAGTTAAGTGGTTTCGGCATGAAGACTAGGTTTCTGTCAGTACTTCTCCCTCACAAAACATTCCCAACACTTACGTGTTGTTAATTATTTGAAACCGTTCACCCTTCTTGAATGAAAGATCTTCTGTAGTTCTAGCTTCATAATCATATAAGGCCACAAATATAGTAACACCACCTATCGGAGCCAAAAACAAAGACAAAAACAAAAAAACAACCAAGGTAATTATATGGATAAAGTAAAATAGAGAAAAAAAATTGTCAGCAAAAAAGCTAAGCATAATTTTCTTCCTAGTCTCCAGAATCTATTTTTAAATGGAGACTTGGGCAGCTAGAACTTAGTTAAAAAGATGCTCTTAAGACTTCCCATGAAACTACTGTAAGCTACATATTCTAAAATTCTATACACCTACAGAAACAAATTTAACTCTGGTTCATAGTAGCAAGGTCTCTGACTTGGAAAGACAGTCAAAGTTCAAATTAATTCTTTGGCAGAAAAAGCATTAACAAGTACTGCAAATTACTGGCACTGATCATCTCAATTTCTGATAAACAATGGGTGAACATTTCCATCTGTAAGACTGATCCTTCCTAGTAACAGCTAGGGATTTAGTAAGATTAGTTAGTATACTGAACACTTAAAAGTTAAAAATGGCTTGTTTTTCTTAGAAATTAAGTGATATGACTGATATGAATTATAAATTCCAAAAATAACTCTCATACAGAGCACTGTACACAAATGCTTAACAGATCAGGACACTACACAACTAAACCATTACCTGCAAACAGAAGAATAGAATGGATTGATTTACTCTTCTCCCCTGAGCTCCAGTCATGTATTAACTGCCTATGTGACATACCTACTTGAATGCCTAAGCAAATGGCACTATCTGATCAGGTACTCAACCAAGTCCCTATACTAGCACTATTAGCTCTACCTCTAAAATACCTCTTATCTACTTTCTTTTCCATTTCCACTGCTGCCACCTTCATCTAAACCCTTGTTATCTCTGAGTGCTAGGACTCTTGAGAGAAGTAGCCTCCTAACCCACTTCTGTACCTGCTTCCTTATATACATTCTCCACACAGTTAGTTGCCACAGTGGTTTTTAAAAAAAGGAAATTCAATTATGCAAATCCTCTATTTAAATTTCTTCAACTGCTTTTTCTTGGCTTTTGAATAAAATCCAAACTTCTTACCAGAGTCTTTGAGGTCCTGAGTAATCCTAACTCTTCAATCTTATAGTAATCAATTCTACCCTCTGTTGTCCTCATTGGTCCTCAAAACTGCCAGGTTCATCTGTACCTCCTAAACTCTGCTGTTGTTCTCTCTTCCCCAGAAAGCTCTTTTTCCAGCTCTGCACATATTTAGGTCATTCTCATCAATCAAAACTCAGATCAAATGATATCTCAAGACTGCTTTCCTTGATCAGCTAAAGGGCTTTCACCTTTATTAAATGGACATAAGTAAAGTGCTTAGGTAACTAAACTATGTCCTTAAGGATCAACATTTACTTGAACCATTCTGGACTACTGTCTTTCCCAAACATATAATTCTGAAAATAACTTAAACTTTTGATAACTGAGAACACCACCATGGCGATCTGTTACTGAGGTATTTAGAGTTAGGGAGTTGGGAATTAAACTATAATTGACCCTTTGATGTCCACAACTCCTCAAAACGAACAGTCTCATAGAATTCACTTATGGCATTCCTCTAGCACTATTATTGGTTTAGAGGTAAGCAGACTGAAGGGACAAATTTATAGTCCAAGCTTATAGAACAGATTCCACTTTTGCCCCCTCTGATTGTTAAGTAAGGACACATGTTGCTGCTCAATTTGATGCTAGCAGCTGTTTTGCCAAGCCTAAGGTTAAAGCAGAAACTCTAAGGGCTACTGGAAAGAGATCAAGGACTCGAGTCCTTGATGACATTAAAAAACTACTGTTATATCAAGGAATCCTAGAGCTCACTCTACCTTTTTAAAACCAGTTATGTTTTGTTACTCAAGGGAAAAAGTATCCTGATGTGGAAACCTTCCACAAAAGAAATCTTTTTAAAGTTTCTAATTTTTTAGAGCATTTCTGGCTCCATGAAAGGTTGTCAGCTGTCACTTCTTCCTGTTCTCTGAAAGTATATCATAAAGTAATAAATGGAGTTCTGGAACAGAACATTAAACCTTGTCTCTCTTGCTTATCTCTGGCTCTGAAAAAAAAATCATTTAACTCTGAGCCTTAGGACTTTTCTTTTTAAAATCAATCAGTATCTGATAAAAAAAAATACCATCATCACTACATTACCATTTAATATTAAGTAATTACTATAATATTTTAATACTGGATAGTACATTATAAACCTGAAAACTTATAACATTCTTGAGGGAGGGGTACATGTTTTTAATTTTTATAACCCCAGTACCTGCCACATAGCAGGCACTTCATAATTACTTGAAAAATGAAAAATGAAATAATGGTATAACCAGTCAATAATCACCAAATTTTCCAGAACAATATCTATGTATACAATAACACTTTAATTTTTACGTTAGAAGTTTAATTTTCACATAAACTTATTAAGTCCCCCAGGAACTTATCTTTCTTACAAGCAGTTATCTTTCTTTGAATGTACTGCCTAAGGTCACATTCCCAAACAGACAACAGAACTGTCCATTTAAATCTCACCTGTTAAACCAGCAGGATATGAACTTGGCACCACTGCGAATGAAGAAGATGCTCCTCCAAAAGGTGTCACCCCTGAGGATCCTCCAAATGGTGTCATGGAAAGACTGTTAAAATTAACAGATGCTCCCTTTGTTGAAGACGATGGGGCCACTGCCGTGTGTTCTGCTCCATAATGGCTGACACTTGCACTGACAGGCTCTGGAGTGCTTTCAGTTCTATATTTAATGGTTGGACTTTTGTTCTCTTTACTTTTAATGCAGCCCATTATCAAATCTACAAAGGCGGTAAGGCAAGTATTTTGAGAAGTGGTTAATATAAAGGATACTTCAAAAAAACTCAATTTAAAACTTCACTTTAAACAAGGAATTGTTCTTCCACAAAAAAGTAACATTAACGAAATAAAAACCTAGACAACTAAAAATGGAGTTTCTTCTCCTTACTTATCTTTATTACAAGTCTGCTGAGGCATCATTCCAATCATATCATTCTCCAGCTCAACCACCTTTAATGGTTCAATGACAACATGCCATAGTGTGCTGGGAAAGCCACTGACTCTGAAGCCAGAGGCGCCTACATTTGAATCCTGGCTTTCTACATACTAGTGGAGTATGCTGCCCAACCTCTCTGCACCTTACCCTTACATGAAAAAGAGGGATAATAATAACATCACTTCATAAAGTTTTCTATGACGATTAACTTAAGTTTATTACAGGTTCCAGACAATATGTGGCACGTAGTAAATACTAGCAAATACCAGCTGTATTCCTTCTATCTATAAAGGCCCTTTGTAATAGAAATATAATCTGAGCCACATATATAATTTTCAATCTTCTAGCAGCCAAGTTAAAAAATATAAAAAGAAGGGGCGCCTGTGTGGTTCAGTCGGTTAAGCGGTGGACTCTATTTCGACTCTGATCATGATCTCACGGTTACTGCCTGGGATTCTCTCTCTCCCTCTCTTTCAGCCCCTTCCCGCTCATGTGTGAGCACATGTGCATACTTTCTCTCCCAAAATAAATAAACAATAAACAAATTTTTTAATAAAAAAATAAAATTTATTTAAATGATAGATTTTATTTAATCTACTGCATATAAAATACAATTATTTCAACATATCAATAAAAAAATTTTTAATGACAGAGTTTACATTCTTTTTTTGTACTAAGTCTCAGAAGTCTGTTATATATTTTAAACTTATAGTACATTTCTATTTGGACCAGGTACATTTCAAGTGCTCAGTGTCTATATGTGGCTAGTAGCTACCACGTATAGAACAGGGTAGTTCTGTAACTTTTTTCTTCCTTATCTACAGTCACACTCCCAATGCTTACCAAATCCAATCCCACTCTATCTTTCCAACTTTATCTCCTATTATTTCCTTATGCTTATCTACACACACACACTTTCCTGTTTCCGCAATACATATGCCCTGTGCTTTCCCAATTTTGTGGGGATTTTTACATCTAAAACTTCTCTACCTGCTATAGTTCTATCCATTCACTGAATGTCACCAAAAATGCTACTTTTCCATTCAGGCTTTTCCCCATAAATGGCAAAATACTGTCTTCCTTAAAACATCCAGTGTACTTTTGGGGAGATTTTTATATGGAATGCTTACCTTACCATTTTGTATCTTGTTTTTTGCTTACTGGTGTAATTCCCACCCTACCCCCAAATTACTGGCAATACATTTCTTAAAATCAAGAGTTACTCATCTCTTTGTGCATCTTACAAACATGACTCATATAATAGGTTACTAATATTACAAATCTGCATTATTTTATTCACTTCTTATGGGAGCACTAATGGGGATTTCATTAATTCACTTCCTTTTAAGGGTCATTCTAATTTTACAGTTTTTCCTTTCTTACATGGCATTCAAAAGGAAGTAGGTGAGTGATTAAGATGATTGCCTCATGAATTCACAAAGACTGAATATTTATGACCTTAGCTATATAACATCTAAAATGTAGCTATATTGCAGTAATCCGACAAGAAATAAAGGGCAACCAAATTGGTAAGGAAGAAGTAAAATTGCCACTATTTGCAGAGACATAATACAATATACAGAGGACCCTAAAGACTCCACCAAAAACTATTAGAACTGATGAATGAATTCACTAAAGTTAGAAGCTACAAAATTAATATACAGAAATTTGTCGTAGTTCTACCCACTAATAATAAAGTAGAAGAGAAATTAAGAAAACAATCCCATTTATAATTACACTAAAAAAAAAAAAAAAAAAAAAAAAAAAAAAAAAAAAAAAAAAAAAAAAAAAAAAGGCTAGGAATGGATTTAACTAAAGAGGTTAAAGACCTGTACACTGAAAACTATAAAACACTGATGAAAGAAGTTGAAGACAAAACAAATGGAAAGGTATACCATGCTCATAGACTGGAAGAATTAATATCGTTAAAATGTTTATGACACCAAAACAGTCTACAGATTCAATGTAATCCCTATCAAAATACCAATAGTATTTTCTACAAAAGTAGAACAAATAATCCTAATAATTGTATAGAACCACACAGGACACGAATAGGATAGGCAGACTTGAGAAAGAACAAAACTGAAGTATCATAATCATACATTTCAAGATATACTACAGTTATAGTAATCAATCAAAACAGTATGGTACTGGCATAAAAACAGACCCAAAGGTCAGTGAAACAGCATAGAGAGCCCAGAAATAAACCCATGCTTATATGGTCAATTAATCTACGACAAAGGAAAGAATATACAATGGGGAAAAAGTCTTTTCAATAAATGGTGTTGGGGAAACTGGATGACTACATGCAAAAGAATGAAACTGGACCACTTTCCTATACTACACACAAAAATACACTCAAAATGAAAAGAAAAAAAACCTCAAAATGGATTAAAACACAAATGTGAGACCTGAAACCATTAAACTCCTAGAAGAAAAACAAAATGTTAAGTAGTAATCTTTCTGACATCAGCCTTAGCAACGTATTTTTTGATCTTGTCAGGCAAGGGAAACAAAAGCAAAAATAAACAATTGTGACTACACCAAAATAAAAAGGTTTTGCATAGCAAAGGACACCATCAACAAAACAAAAAAGCAACTCAGTAAATGGGAGAAGATATTTGCGACTGATATGTCCAATAAGAGGTTAGTATCCAAAATATATAAAGAATTTATACAATTAGGGGCGCCTGGGTGGCTCAGTCGGTTGAGCGTCCGACTTCAGCCCAGGTCATGATCTCGCAGTTCATGAGTTCGAGCCCCGCATCAGGCTCTGTGCTGACAGCTTGGAGCCTGGAGCCTGCTTCGGATTCTGTGTCTCCCTCTCTCTCTCTGCCCCTCCCCAGCTCATGCTCGCACTCTGAATCTGTCAAAAATAAATAAACTTAAAAAAAAATAAAAAAAAAATAATTTATACAATTAAACACCAAAAAAACATATAATCTGATTGACAAATGGGCAGAAGAACTGAACATTTTTCCAAAGAAGATATACACATAAAAGGACAAAAGACACATGAAAAGATGCTCAACATCATTAGTCACCAGAGAAATGCAAATCAAATCCACAATGAGATATTACCTCCTATCAGAATGGTTAATACCAAAAAGAAATAACAAGTACTGGCAAGAATGTGGATAAAAGGGAAACTTCATGCACTGTTGACGGTAATGAACAGTATTGAGGTTCTTAAAAAAAATCAAAAATAGAAATATCGTATGATCCAGCAATTTCACTATGCACCCCTATGATAACTGCAAGATTATTTACAATAGCCAACATATGGAAGCAATCCAAGTGTCTATACACAGATGAATGGATAAATATGTGTGGGATGTGTGTAAATAATGGGAATATTACTCAGCTATAAAAAAAAAAAATGAGATCTTGCCATAGGTGACAATATGGATGGACCTAGAGGATATTATGCTAAGTAAAATAAGTCAGGGAAAGACAAGTACCATATGATTTCACTTATATGTGGAATCTAAAAAACAAACAAACAAACAAAAAACCAGACTCTTAAAAACAGAGAACTGGTAGTTGTCAGAGTAGAGGGATGGGGTAAGTAAAGAAGATTAAGAGATACAATAAGTCACAGAGATGAAAAGTACAGCATAAGGAATACAGTCAATAATACTGTAATAACATTGTATGATGACAGATAGCAACTACACTTATCATGGTAAACACTGAGTATTGTTATGAAATTGTCAAGTCACTGTGTTGTATACCTGAAACCTAACACTGTATATTAATTATACTTCAATTAAAAACATTCTAGGGGCACCTGGCTAGCTCAGTTGGTAGAGCATGCAACTTTGGATCTTGGACCTACCACATTGGGTGTAAATTACTTAAAACAATAAAAATGCAAAAAAAAAAAATTAAGCACTATAAAATAAATGTAGCTATAAATATGAAAACAGAAACTCTCAGAACCTCAAAGCTGGAAGATTTTCAGATCATTATCTTAAATGAGTATATTCTTAAGATGTGACAGTTAAGTATAAGCATCAAAACATAACTGGGAGTGGAAATTTAAATTTCTAATGAACACACTTTGAGGGAACTATAAGCTAATTACATAAAAGGTATCTGCTTCTAAAAGTATTAGAAGAAACTCACCATGTTTCATAATCTAGTTGGAAAAGTGTTTTAAAGCATAATGTAAAAGTAGAAACCTTAAAAGAAAAGCCTAGATGCATGATTATCTAACTTCTGTGTGGGGAACAGGAGTAGGGACAAAAAAGTCTTAAGCAAAGTTAAAGATATGAGAAAAGGGAAAGTATCTTTGTACTTGCTCATGTTCTTACTCAGTCTAACACAGAAATGTACACATATGAAAACTGGTTGACATTTTACATGTTAAAAAAAAAAGACAGCCCCTCAAAAAAACAGGGAAGCCTATCAAGAGATAATTTACAAATGAAATATGAAAGGCCAATAAGCAGTATAAGGAGTTGTCCGACCTTTCCAGTCCTCTAATAAATGCAAATTTTAAAAGGTACCTTTCTTGCTTATCAGATTGGCAAATTTTGACTCAATACTCAAAGATGAAGGGAGGATTTTAACCAACAATCAATATATATTCACAAAACAGGCCAAATGAAATATATCGATTCATAACTGCAATTACCATAATTATTCACCCACCTCCTTTTCTATTCCCAGCTCCCTTAATTCCTCATTTTCATCTTTTTCTTTATCTGCAATTGTTGCTTAGGTCTTTTCTCTCTGGAAAACATCACTGACTTAACCCTTCTTCCTTCCAGAG